CTTTGAGCACAAGTAAAAACAAAACAATAAGATAGATTTCCCTTTTTTTGTTGTCAAAAATTGAACTTGGGAATTTGTGCTTGCCAGGCAAGTGCTATACCACTCAGCTATAACCCCAGGGCAACAGATTTCTCCTTTAATAAAAATGATTACACTTGTTTCAAGACTCACCTTACTTCAAGAGATGTCTGGAAAATGTATTTTTTTTTGGCAAAAGTAGAATCAATTATAACACAAGACATACTTTAAATATGCTTTTGAAACTAAAAGGCTAGAAAATGTTACTTTGTAAACATGAGAAAAATAAGGGCAAGGATAAAAAGGAAAGAGTAAGATAGCTGAAAGAATGAGGTAACCAAAATCATTACTGAGGAAAAAATGTTAGACTAGGGGCTGGGGACATGGCTCAGCGGAGTTAAGGGCTTCCCTGGCAAGCACAATGGGCCTGAGTTCAATCCCCGGTTCCGCAAAAAATAAAAATAAAAAATAAAAAAAGTAAAATGTTAGACTAAGGTCAAGTCAGAAAGGGCTGACAAGAGGGAGTAGTGGCTGTTTGGAATTTGAGTCCAGCGACTCACAAATAGCAAAGTCTATGAACAGATGATGGGAGGGCAGCAGTCCAAGAATTGTTCCCATTAAAGTAAGAGTAGCTTTGTATCTTTATAGAATTATGGGGCTTATGTTGGATTGAAGATACTATGTGTACAAAAAAACCCAGAAAAGCCAAACTGAAATGATGAAAAGGTATTCTTAACTGAGTTTTCTGAATGAGTTCAAGGAGTTTGCACATTCCTTTGAAATACAAACAAAATTAACTCAGTATAAATAAAGGGCAAAATAAAAGATCACAGGAGATGGGGGGGGGGCAGAATTTCCTTAAAGGGAAAGGGGACCAAGAGATGAAGGAAGGATAAAAGTTCAAGGATGAAAACAGGAATTAAGATGTGTCATATACATGTACCAACTGCACACAGGAATATAAACATCATGTACTTCAAATATGTACAAAACAGAAAAGGCAGGGAACTAAGAGGTGGGTGAGGGGGAGGAGAAAGGGAAAGGAATTAAGGTATATTATGTAGATATACTAACTTGACACAAGGAATGTGACCATTATGTAACACATACATATCCTATAAAAGAAAAATATAGAGAAAACAATATGCTTCTGTGTAATCTTTTCTAAGTACAAGGTTCACTGCTCTCTCACATTCTTAAGAAGCTCTGAATAATGAAAAAGATTAAGAAGTACCAATTCATTTCTAGGACCCTAACTTACTGAAATGAGCTCCTCAGAGGTTACCAGTGGTAGAATGAAATGGATTTTGAAGCAGTGGATAAGTATCTTATTAAACTATCTTTGTCTCATCTGTTTCCATTTTTCTCTTGCTCTACTTTGTATTACAAGGAACTAAATTTCCCAAGCATCCTTGCTGTCTGGCTACCAGGTAAGTACAGTCGTGAAAGACACTGGGGAGACGAAAGGTGGAAAGAGGAAAGAGATCAAGACATTTTCAACTTGTTTTGCTTTCTGGAGGCCTCGCCTGTAAGTTTCTTGTTTCATCTCTCTATTCTCCCAGCTTCTTTAAACAACTTTGTTTTAAAGTCAGCTCCCAGAGGTGACTCCAGCTTCTGTGTTCTGGTAACACTGCTATGTTGTTCTATAGCTTTATAGAGATGCTGAAGGGTTCTTTCTTTGTGGATTTCTGGGTGGTCTCACCATCACATTTGGTTTCTTCACTGTGTCTCACCATGTGTAATTAATTTCCTATGCTGACAGCCCTCCATCTGAAGGAGGTAGTGTTTTCTGTTTTGCTACCTGAATCACGACTACACTTAACTACTGTACCTGAATGAGGTGGTAGAGTGTAATGTCAAGTGGCAGGACACTAGGAGCAGTGCACTGTGGGAACAGAGCAGCTTTTAACTTTGGATAAGGTGTTAAGGCCATCCTCAGAAGTTGGGGATCCACTTTCTTCAAGCAGTTCTCATTTTCTTCATTCTGAACGACCTAGGTAATAAGATACACAACAGAGAATAACATTTTTCTCTTCTCAAAACTCACAAGAACCCTGTGAAAAGATTAGTTGGAGACAGTATACAGCAGTGAAAAGAGCACTGTTAAAAATAGCGATAAGGGGGCCGGGGAGATGGCTCAGTGGAATAAGCGCTTCCCTGGCAAGCACAAGGGCCTGAGTTCAATCCCCGGTTCCGCAAAAAAAGCGATAAGAGGCCAGTTTAGCTCAGTGGCACAAGTGCTTGCCTGAGTTCAATCCCCAGTACCAAAACAAAAACAAAATAAAAAAAAACAGCAAGTGCAATGGCCTGAGTGCAATCCCTGGTTCCGAAAAAAAAAAAAAAACCAAACCAAAGCCCCAAAACAAAACCAAAAAAGCAAAGGGGCAAATAACTTAGTCACAGACATATAGTACAGTATGTAAAAGAGACAGTATTAAAGTAAGCATCAGTAAGAGACTCTTGAAGATCATTATATGTTTAACAGCATTAAGTTAAGGCACACTATATATTCAAAAAGCAAAAATGAGCAAATTTCCACTAGGTTCTTCAAAAGAGTTTATATGAGTAGCTAAAGATTATGCATTGATTTTTACCTCTCTACAAGGTCAAATAGCAGAAAATAATTTCCAAGCCACAAATCTAAAATACACCTACTTCCAGAAGCATTAGGACCCTGACTTTATCCTGTAAAAAAATCTGGAGTTATAAAAAACATACTAATAGGAAAAAAGTAGCTGTCTACAACATAGCAGTTTTCTTTCAAATTAAAATGATACCAAACTTAAAAATTTACCCATTTTGTTCTCTTTAATAAAAAACTTAGGGTCGGAAAGATAGCTCAGTAGAATAAGTGCTTGCCTGGAGAGCACAGGGTCCTGAATTCAATCCCCAGTACCGCAAAAACAAAAACGAAAAAAACCCTTAAAAGTGGTTATATTTTAATATTAATGGAGATCTAGGCAATCCATAGATGTTTATACTAAATTTAAAATCATTCCTATTTTGCTATAATAGGTAAAAGCATTGTCCACACCTGGCTGGCGCCCCCAGGAGCATACATTGTAGTAGCAAGGGCCAGGAGGGTATGTCCTTCCAATAGCATACTGCTTACACTGGCCTGATTGGTGGGAATCAAAATCTGAGCATTCGCAAGGCTAGCCTGGAAGATCAGCTTGGGATCTGGAAGATAAAAGGGCACATTTTTCTCCTGAAGAGAGGTTAATGCTAAGCAGTAGGTAGATAATTCAGAGGGAAAAATGTATATTTAAAATATCCACAGTAAGGAGATTTTTCTTAAGTTTAAGTTATAGAAAGACACTGCAAGGGAATAAAGAAAAGATCTGTCAACATAAAAGTAAAGATTTCAGACAAAGAAAACTAGAAGGTAACAATGAACTGGGGAGAAAAATTGTAACAAATAATCTAAGAATCAGTACTCTCAACAAACAGCTCAAATCAATGCCAAAAACACTTGACTCTAACAGATAAGTAGATAAAGCAAAACAATTTCACAAAGAGAAAAGTATAAATGCTTAACAAAAATATATAATTCATTAGCAATAAAGAAATGAAAATTGAATAATTAGCTGTTAACTATATCAACTCAGTAATAACTAAAAATAGTCACCATTAAATATTACAGTCAGCCAGGATGAGCAGAGACAGAGTTACAGATAAAACATAACCTCTTTGGATAGCAATCTGGTCTTCTGACTAGAACCTTCAAAACATGTATAGCTGGGCCAGCCAGATAGCTCAGTGGATTAAAGCACCTGTTTTGGCAGATGCAGGGACCAGAATTCAATCCCCGGCTCTGGGGCACACTGAGTTGATTGAGACTGGGTGTGGTGGTGAGCACCTGTAATCCCAGCATTTGGAAGGCTGAAAACAGGAGGATCACTACGAGTCTGATCTGTGTAGTGAGACCCTGTACTTACTACATTAAAAATAAATAAAATTTTAAAAATACATGTATAACCTTTGCCTTAGTAACTTTATTTCCAGAAACTGACCTGTATTAAGGAATTAATCTGAAACAAGGGCAAAAATATATATTCTGTTAAAATATATTCCAAGTGGTGTATGGCTGTAATTCTAGCACTTGGGAGGCTTTTCCATTAACTCTGGGATGAGTCCCTAGAGGTAACAGGGCTTTTCTGTCTGATTATAACCAGAACAAGCCTTTCCATCAGCACCTTCACTAGAGAGGACACAACAATACACTTCAGTATATACCATGGATTTCTTTTAATTTCATTTGGAGCCACTTATCTGAAATTCAGAGTTAGGGGTCTAACTTTAGAGTAGTAGAGCTCCTGTCTAGAATACGAAAGGTTCTAGTTAGATCACCAGCACTGCTTGCATGAGTAAGTGAATGATTCAGAGCAAGCACCACACACTTATGTAAAAAAGGCACTTCTCTACATGAGAGCAGGAAATCCGCCTGTCAGGATGCTAGAAATACAAATGAAAAGGTCTGAGACGGAAGTGGGAGAAAGGGACAGGACTACACAAGTTCTGCACCATCAGTCAGGGTTTTCACAGGGGGCAAGAGGCTAACATTTCTGGTTTTCTACTTGGGAAAAGTGCAATCGTGGAATTCAGTCAGGTAACTGACTACCATCAAATGACTGTATTTAAGCAAGTTCATAAATCAAGTACTATTTAATAGACCAGTTATTTATCAAACATTTTAATATTTAATACAATATACCCTTACCTGTAAAATTATTAGAAACTTGTCGACACTGAACTAAAAATTCAAACCAAGGATAAGTTTCATGTAATTCTTTCTTTTCCAAAAAAGGACAATTTTCGGGACTGAATCTGTATTAAAATATAAAACTTGTCTTTAATGTATAAAACAGGGTAAGGCAGTTGTAAGCATTCTTTTTTCAGGTGAAAAACTACCATCAGAAAATAGAATTTGGAATTACAAAGCGAATATATGTAACACAACATACTCCCTTTCTTTCTTTTTTTGTGGAACCGGGGATTGAACTCAGGCCCTTGTGCTTACCAGGCAACCACTTTTTCTATTGAGCTATCTCCCTGGCCCAGATTTGATTTGATTTTTATTTATTTATTTTTTATTATTTCTAGTGATACCAGGGATCGAACTCAGGACCCCATGCTTGCCAGGCAAGCACTTATTCCACTGAGCTATCTGCCCGGCCCCTGAATTGATACTTTAAAATATGACTTTAAAATTGGTCTCTCAGGGGAGACAGCGTGGTGGCATAAGTGCCTGGGAACCAGGTCTGATCCCCAGTACCACATGCTGTGGCGGCCTAGAACCCGTTTGATCCCCAGTGCTGCATGCTGTGCTAGCCCTGGAACCTTGTGTGCACCATGTTGTCCACTGAAACCAGGTGTGGTGGTACATGCTTGTAATCCCAGTGCTGGGGAGGCTGAGACGGGAGGATCACTCCAAGCTGCGTAGCAAGACCCTTTAGCCAATAAATAAATAAATAAATATTAAA